ACCCACGTTCTGGTAATTGTCGACCCTTCTTTTCGAACGTGCGTTGTCCCTGTACGATTCTTGACTGCGGAGCTCTGCTTTGCAGCGGGAGATTCGGGACGCTTGCCGAAATCCCCTTCGTGCAGAGGAATCGAGAATCTCGTCTGACTTGACGACTTAATTCCCTTGGACTATCCGCCTAGCTCAGCCCCCCCTTCCCCCACCCCCGAGATCTCGGACTCTGGTGGAGGTTGAGAGACAATTGCGGTCAAACTAAACTTCGCAGGGAACGAGATCGTAATTTGTCTTCAGAGTCGGGTGGGAGAGAGAGCCGCGTTTCTTCTTAACAATGGTCAACTGGCGAAAAAGAGTCCCATTGATAAAGATGAGGGGCGAAGCCGACTGACGTCCAAATTACAAGTTGCGGACGTTCATTCGAGGGGTCACGGCACATCGAAGAGTCCCAAGCGAGGAGAGCTCTCGGGGACTGGAGCTCCTCGAATTTTCCCCTGCAACTTTGATAAATTATGCTCTTCCTAAGGATAGGATTGTTGGCATGACCCTTCAGCTGTTTCGAGAGATCACTGGAACTCTCTGGGACTCAGAAATTCGATGCGTTGCCTATCGGAGCTCAAGGGAAATAATTCCGGAGGACGATATCCGGAGAATATCGAAGTCTCGATGTGTCGGCGCGACGCAATATCCAGGAGATGGGAAGGAGACGTGCGACCAGAGAAGAGTGGGAATAACCAGACCGGGTAGCAGAAACGGAAAATACGCGAAGGAGCTTGTATGAATCGAGTCAACGGCTCCACACGCATACCAATTAGCCATTCTTCTGATTCAAGCTCTCCAGCTCTCCCATCGAGGGAACAGCTGTTGTCGTTTCCGCGATGGCTTGCCGTAATCGAACGTCCAGAGTAGCATCGTAGTCGGGCCAAGGATGCCCCACGTAGAACATTGAAGGAGGAAGAATCAAGTGTCCGAAGCAGAACTTTCTGAGCGGTCCGAGTTCCTGAGTCCGGGTGCTCCTGAGTTGGCGACCGGTCAGTCCGACAAGACTTCAAGTGAATCGTCGAATAATTTCCCGAACTTCTACATTAGAGCAAGCAGAGCGACTTCGCACCGCCTCAGAATTGAATCAAGAGAGGACAACAGCATGCGAAGGGGATAAGAGGAAGACTGCTTCGGGAGAATACCAACCCCGACCTCATCCACCGTCGGCCATTCCAGCCAGCGATCGTGTTTGCTCTCCATTCGAAAGGAAACTGTTGCAAGTCAACTGGGGCCATGTAAATTCCCTCGCCTCCACGAACGCAGACGAAGCAATAACGATGTCATATCCGGGGAGGCAGTCGTCCGGGGTCGCGCAGCTGCTCGAGTCGGCTTGACGCCGTTCTATTCCAGAGAGGGATCTCTGACTCCGAGGGAGGCTCTCGAGTTCTCTCGAAATGCGCGATTGTATCTGATTCGCGAAATTCAACAAGACGCCAACTAGGAAAATAACAAGAGCATCCCGTAGTCGTGAGAGGAATGGCAAAGAGTTCCTCATGGGACGAGCCCGTAGGGGAACGCTCAATTCGAGAAGAAAAAGTCGCTCTCGAGAGGTTTGGTGGGGATCCTATTGCCGCTGACGTCATAATGAAACTTGTCGGAGGAAAACTCTCCTCAGAGAACTCAAGCGATCCGGGATTGAGCACCGTCGTGGATTAGTACTTCGCAAGGGGGCACTCCAGAGGCCCGTCAGCGTAGAAAGGAGGAGCAATTTCATAAATCGACGCGGAATGTACTGCTTCCCTTCACTGTGCTCCGAACAATGGTGAGAGCGCAGGAAAGATCCCGGAGACAATTATTGATACGAAACAGGCGCGCCAGCAAGACTAGCGGTGATGGCGGCAGCAGTAGCAGCTGGAAGCAGGTGTTGGCCATCGGGGGCCTTGAAAAGATCCCCAATTGTTCCGTCGAAGCGATTCTCTCTCATTAAACAAGAACCAGTCCTCAGGAAAACCAGCGTTTATCTCCCTACCCCTGCTTTTTTCCCTCCGCTCCCTAGGTGGCCGGTCTCCTCGCTGAGTTCGAGGCGGACAGCCGGATCCTGGGACACCTCCGCTTTTTCTTGTGACTCTGGGTAGATCGAAGAAGGGCACTCGACAAGCGAGCTCTCCGAAAGTTCCGTAGGTTTAGGCGCGGCTCCCCGCCTGCGAGTGACTTACGTACACCGCGAACGAAAAAAAACATGCGGTCTGGCTCGTCGATCAGAGTAGCATCCTTCGGAGAAGGAGCGACTCGTGTCGGGAGCCAGTTCCCTCTTTGCGAACGTACTTGCTCGCGTGGCTTTATGTGAACGATGCGCCACTGATCACGCTGTTCGAGATTTCTCGACGAATCATCAAGTGCACTCGGAAGGAAAAACTGTTGCTTCACTTCTGCGTCGCTGTTTCTATGACGAAAGGATGATCGTTTGCAAATCATCTCCCAGCTGAGCTTCCCGTCGCTAAGCCAGCCGTGACTTCATCGTTACGTGCTTTCCTCGACGCAGAAACCATTGAGCGAAACAATCGCCGTTCAAGTGTGCTGCGGTAATCGTTCCCGTAAGCAGCAAAACAAAAGGTCGGAACTTTTACAGGCGACGAGGCAGCCTCGGCTAAACCGGAATAAGTACAGTGCCTCCTGATCCTGAGCGTGGGCGGTCGATTGCTCTACTCTGCTCCCTTGGACAATTGTTGCGTGGCGAGGTTGCGAACTTATGCAGCGCCCTTCAAGTCTATCGCAGCGTGGCCGACCGGTGGGTCGGTCGGTCGTTCGCCCGGCCGCTCGTTGGGACGCCCGGACGGCAAGGCAGTTTTGGCGCGTATCATCTCATCTACATAATGAACGAGATCCTGTTTAATTGCATCGGTTGCATACCTTTCACCTGTGACTAAGCTCAGCATAACCTTCGTTCATTCGTCCGCCCCTGCTTTGCCCGGCCGGTTGCTCCCCTCCCGGCGAGCATTTCTGCAGAATCTCGTACATCTCTCGGAAGTTGCACTCGACGACGCTCCTGATGCCCGACACTGCTCGCGCGCGCGCATCCCTGCGACAGCTAGTCGATAAGGACAATAACGATGCTCGTTCGAGGGGGAGGGAACTTGGTGAATTCGCAGACGACTTCGTCACCTCGTTTAGCGGCTCGACGGCTTTGTCCGGCCGGCATCTGCTCGGCCGTGATTTCTCTCGTCCGCATGAATCTCTCCGTCGAAGGAGCTCGGCAGTCAAAAAGCAGCCTGAGCAGTCTGATAACAAAAGCATGAATAAGCGGGAAGAGGCTGGGATTTAGTTCCCAGCATTCTCTTCGAGAGAGTTCCCAAAAATACAGGCGGCGGCGGCGACGACGACGTGGATGGCGATTACTGCCCCCAGGACGGGGGAGTTAAACGCGACGTCACAGGAGCTAGCGCCGCTCGTGTCTGCATTAGCGTTCTCTCATTGTTCCGCGGAGCGCACAAGTTTACTTTTGCGTAGCCACGCGAGCAAACGAATCGATGACTCGTCGCGTGCCCAATTGAATAAGTACACGGAAGGTGAGCGGATACCGATGAGCTCTCAATACAAGCAGGTACACCGATTCCGGCATAGTGTGGCATCGGTGAGCGAACGGAAGCAGAGACAATGGAGAGGAGGCTCCCTTTCAATGGATGATCGTATCCACGACCCGCCGGCGCACCTCTTGGAATCAATCATTGCTTCTTGACCTCATGACTCGCTCACAATCGGAATGAGAGCTCGAGATTCGGCTGTGTCGTACTCAAGTGCCATAGGATCGCGCACTACTGTTGGCGGCCTACTCCTTCAACATAGCTGTTTGTGTGGACGCATCCGCCTCACTCAGTGATGGATAAATTAACAGCTAGGGCAAAATATGGACCCATGAAAGCTGAATTCTCAAACCCGAAGTTGAACCTGGCTGTTCCGCCTTCGTGAAGATATACAATCAGTCGGGTTTTTTTTCACTGTCGGCGTGATGATGAATCACTAAGTCTGGGGTTTATTCCACTCTTTGATGTCGCCCGCATTTCACAGTCGACTCGATATGAGAAGCAGAAGGAGTAGACAATCCTCGGACACGGTGGAGACGATTGACGCGGATACTACCAGAGAAAGCTCTCCAACAAGAAGACACGAAAAGACGTTTGGCACCTGCGCGCGACCAAGTTCCCGATACATAATGCATGTATGGACAGCGAGAAGCAGGCTGACGACGTGTCAAGCAGGAAGCCGTTGGCCGGAAGCTTCGGATAACCCAAGCAAGCCGGAGCTGCTTCTTCTGCAAAACGACAGGACGAGAAAACTAAACAAGATACAAGCGGCGCTCCGAAGCGACACTCACTCACGAGAATATATCGGCAGCAACTTCGTCACTGCCATCATGACCATCATCAAGACAGCGACAATAAGGCCAAGATCATCGAGAACAGCATCGACAAAATATTCCGGCGCAGCGCTGTAAAATTTTCTCACTGCGCGGACACCGAGTCACTTTTCGGCGGAGACAAGAGGGATTTCTATCTAATGAATGGAAAGTGATACCACATGCCCTTTCCCGAACACCAACAAGTCTGCTATAAGCCCGAGAAAATGATTTATGACAGACTTCATCTCAGTGGGAGAGGATGTCTCGCGAACTTTTTCGTTACATTCTCCTCCGAGTTATGATCGCTCGAGAGAAGTCCGATTTTCTAGCCGAGAGAGTCACACAAAGATCCCTGGATGAGTATCATGCGTTTCCATGACCCGAGCAAAATGGACGGACGGAACCGAATCGAATCTTTTTCCCCTCATGGCCCGGAAGGCGGTACTTTCCCGTCTGGATTCAGAATGATTTTACGGGAATATACGGCTGTTCCGTTTTTGTGGAGGAACTGAATTGATGCCCATGAAGAGCTCGGCATTGGAAAGCAGGTTCTTCGTATGCGCCCTACTTATCCTTGTAAATCTAGCCCTAGAAACGAAAATCGGCTGACATGGTACCATGAACTAACCTGTTCCTGGCAGCAGTGTGTTGAGAATGCCTAGAAGTATGGCCAGAGATGGGTGTAATAGAGGAACCGCTTTCCTGAAGCGTCCGTGTTTTTCTCGAATAGAAATCAGTTCGTATCTAGCCACTGCTTGCCCGTTCTGAATTTCGACGCAGTCCGAGGGAACGGAAACAACGACCTGACGAATGTCCGGCCGGTTTGGATACAGCCTGGCCTGATAGGGGTTTCCGCCTCCTCCGTACATCGGCGAGTAAGCGTTGCCAGCGGCGGCGGCTCCTCTGTCGTACGCGCCCCCGTAGCCACCGTTGTAGGGTGAGCGCCCGACCTGAGCTGACGGAGGGCCGTAAAATTTGCCGCCTAGATGGTTCATGAAGCCGTAGTCTTGGTATCCGCCCGGCCCAGACAAGCCAGAGCCACCTGGAATCAATGGATATGTCGCAGTTAATTAACCTGATCATCGACGACTCATCAATTTTCATAAGGCTGACACCGTCCTTGTTGCTGAGCTCTCCCAAATTCGGGAGACGAGGGGTCGACGGCGGTCTTATTCTCCGCTGATTGATCTTCAATCTATCGTTAATCTCCTCGATAGACATCTATTTCGATTAAGAATGATATCACGTCCCCGCGAAGCAGCACCTGCTCTCTCATAGCGCGTCTAATGCACACGAGCATTTTATTAAGGGGAGAATCCGGCTCAACAACGCGAATATCCGCAGAATATTTTTCGGACAAAGAAACGAAAACTCAAGCTCAGTCCATCCAGAAGGACTCGGTAATAATTCGGTTTCATTTGGAGAGGCGAATCCCAAGCTCCAGGGTCTGGAGAAGTCTCGCTCGAAATCTCTTCTCCGTGAACGCTTTTCCATGAATGAAATAAAAACTGCTGAAATAAAAACCCGGGACGCCATTCGAAAGAGTCATAGAGCTCGGGAGAAAATCAACTTATGCTAATATTCTCAGCTCACACGGAGAGCGAGCGCGCAAAAATCAGGTTGCTTTCGTTTCCCGATCCGCAATTGCTCCGTTCAAAATGTTAATCGCTTCGGCCGCATGTTTTGTATGTATGTCGGTGGTGCATCGGAATGTTTCGTACCCTAAGCAGAGAAGCTGCGCGGCTCCATCGACGCCGAGGGATCATTGCTGTATCGAACATCATGGCCATTGGAATGAGCGTTGGAAGAGTCGGAGCGGAGAGACATTTATCGAGAATCCACTCCAGCACAGAAGCCCTCCCCGATGTCGCTTTCTCCAGTTTGAGTATACCGCGTCGGCCCCGATATCGCCCTGAAGTCACAACACACTTCTGAACAGCGTCTGAACGACCCCTAATGATAGCATAAAATATATTAATAGCAGAGCTGACTCATTTCCGTGTCGATGAGTAAAAAAATTCCGGGTCGATGGCCATCTTGATGAGGGTCCAGAGACCTCTTTGGAGGCTGCATCATTACTCCCGGTACGCGAAGAGAGAAAAAAAGGATGAAGAGAGCGATTCTGTTCTTTCTGCACGCAAAACGATGTCGGCCAAAGAACGAATTCAAACCCTCTCTCGCCCCAAGAAGCCTCTCCGGATTTCAATGATTTGAAAACCTCACCAGGACTTTTTGGAAGTTTGACTTAGTTAGAGGCGACGTATTCCCGACGGACACGCGTTGTCCTCGCTGAGCGTATTTCGAGGAATTTCGAGGGAAGTTTTCCCTGCGACTTGCAAGTTTGTTCAATGGAGACGGAGCAACTCCTGACCGAAATCCCGAGGGAATCAGTTCCCATTCTTCGTGTCGCGTTCAAAACACTATTTCGCTATCGAGCAAACAGAAGTCGAGCGTTGGAAGCATGATAGATTAGCGAGCCACTCCGCAAGGGGAGAATCGGAAGCCATGGGATTAGGTAGTTTTTTTTATCCGCTCGATCATCCTGAATAAGAATCCCGACATTACGCACGTCGGCAGCACCGACCACCTCGTTGTGAAGCGAGAACCCCGTCGCGTCCCTCCTGCGCCCGCTGCCCTGAACACAATATTAATGATGGCTCCGGTCAGCATGATGAGCGACGAGAGTGATTCATTAATGGGAGCCAAAAGCAGGGTCAAGGTTTCGTCTACGTTAGCTTTCGCTCTGCAAATTCTACTCATTTTTTGATATTGCCTGGGCGCACCGCCTGTGTGTCGAATCTTTGAAATTCTCCCGGGATTTCACGCGATTACCTAATCCGCGGAAGATCCCTCTCGCATTCAGGGTCCGACTGGATTTCGCATTCCGCGTTGATAAATAATGTAAGGGAATGACTCCGAATATTGCTTCAGACCGAGAGGGACACGACGACTGTCATGAATAGCCGTGCAATCGCAGAAACTCGTTGTGGAAAAATTCGAGGATGAATGGCCCGAAGCAGCTTTCGACGCAGCTAGTCCGGCAATATCCGAATATTGTGCTCTGAACGACCATTCTAGCAGACGCAATCAATGCGACGACGTTCGATCACCGTGTCGGCGCAGGATCCGCTCGCTCCAGAACCTGATGCGACTTCCCCAGGTCCGAGCTGAGACGAATCTCGGTTACGTCGGGAGCACCAAGAGAAACTTTTCGGATCGACCGCTGCTCCGAATTCACGATTACACCGTCTCGACAGTTCCTTCGGCGGTTCCACGGACGAAACGTAGTCGGATCCAAGCATTCAGGAGGACGGTCAGGCAGCCGCACAAACTCAGATAAAAACTTAGGTGAGAGCTTGGATTATGGAGATTTCAGAGAGGAAGTAGCGCGAATGGCAAACTCCGACGCTCGGAGGAACTCCGACCCTCGACGAACATTCCTCCATGATGACTTCCATAATCGACCGCTGTTTCGGTGGGCGCACCACCATCAGTGCCAGCAGCAATTTAGTTCGAGGCGCTTCTGCTCAAACCGAGAAGTTCCATGTTGACTCCAGAGGGCAAAGCCATGAGGTATATACCCATTAATTTACTAATTGAAGTCTAATTACCGTCCAACGCACTGCATGAGCTGAGTATGAAACTGTGAAGCAAACAGGCGGTCGGCCAGCGGGTCGAGCTGGACGGCTGAGTTTGCCACACCCTCGTCACTCACCGAGCGACCTCGGAAGCGTTAAAGCGCTTCAGCGTTGAGCTGCCAAAATGCTCTTTCTGTCCACTCGTCTTTCCCTCGGTCGAAGACCCGGTGGATCGCTTCATGGCGAGAGAAAAACAATGCCTACTGCCGAGACTCCGTTCCATCGGGGCTCTCCAGAGCCGTTACGGGAGCCGTCTCAATTACTTAGTGACAGGTACTTGATTGGTTGTTTAGTTAGCTTGGTCGATCGCTTCTTGTATCGCACAACGAAGGGAACAGATGAATTGGGAGAGTGACCGCGGCCCGTCGACCAGCCTTACAGGAGGGCTGGAAGCCTCATTTTTAAATCTCCAGTAATTGATTGGAGCGTCCATGTACATACTTCCTGCCACGGTTCAGAAACATCGGGTACACCACCTCTCCTGGAAGAGGACCGGCTTCCAGGTTCCGAGCAATCGACGAGTTTTTTCGTTCTCGAATCGATTTTCCCCCGTCCCAGAATCCCGAATCGCGAGACATTACCATCATCGAGAGCGGAAATTCACCGCAAGAACTCTGATTCGAGTGAGAAATTCCTCTTTTGGGCCGGGACCCGGACACCACGCTCGGACGGCCCGAGGCACTGCTGCGAACTTCCTGGACTCTCGGAGAGAATTCCTCGAAAAGAGCTGTTTCCTGTTGTTCGCCGTTCTGAAGGGAGAACCCCCAACCTATTTCCGCCAGAAGGATCTCGTTAGTGAAATGGAACTTAGACTCTCACGGATTGCTCAATCTCCACTCGAATCGGAGACCTCCCTCGTTCAAGTAGGATTTCTGCGATCCAGCAGACACGGTTTACGAGGGGGACGGAGCGAATCATATATTGGGTGACTGTTTTCTGAAGTCGGTGCGGTTTCAGATCCGTTTCCTTTCTTCCTTCTCCGTTCGTCGACTCCTCGGAAGAGCAAATGCTTGCATTCTGTTTTTGTTATCTCTGCAATCAGCCACCTCCAGGGACGTTTGCATGACCCGCAATACCGCTGTAGTCGTGGGACCGAAGTCAAAGAGACTCTACTCACGTTCGTTTTGGGTCGTATAGACCTAGTCATGCATCATGGAGACATTAGAGAAACATTAGTTTTATTACACGTGCCAGCGGCGACGGTTAACGCAACGCACGGAGTTTGCACGCCACATAGGCATCAGGGTTCGGTGTTCGCTTCCTGAATCTGGCTAAGGTTCTTCCACTGGCCTTCCATAATTCCGTTCGACGACACGATCGCGCGATCCCGCGCCAGTGAAGGATTGCCAGGCATACTGAGGAGAAACCGGGATGGATCGTCCGCGCCTCATAGTCAGACGTATCGAGACGAACTCCACGATATGGAACTGTTCTCTACGACAGTTCGATGGACGTGATCCGCCTATGTTTCGTCTAATTTAAGGCTCTGAGCGCTGCGTCTCGATTCCCCGGAATTAAGGTTCCTTGTTCAATGCTCCCGGAGCCGCGGCGCGCCGCTCCATGTTCGCGTGGGAATGGGCGTCGATCCTGAGAATTTCAACATGCGACGTAGACTTGCTCAGCTTAGAGTTTCTGAACATTTCTGTCAACACGTACAGGGCTTCGCTCATGATTAGAGTTCCTGAACTTCGGACATTTCATATCTATCCAATCCGCAAGAGCGAGGACCGAGGACCAAATCGACTTGGGAATCGCCTCTGATGAGTTTTCCCCGTCGCCGGAAGATGTGGCAAACGCTAGAATGAGTATACTATACTGCAATCAGATCTATTCTTATTCGAAAGTTGGAAGATCAAAATACTCGTTTAGGAACTCTACTCATGATTGAGAGAGGCAGGTTTTACTTCATGTATTATTTCCTCTGCGCGCTGTTCTTTAGCAGCTTCTCCGGAGCCAGACCCTAATCCGAGGCACGGCTCGCCTAAATTCCAACGACAACACTCTTCATATCTCGAGAGGATTCTAATATGTGCTTAGAATAACAGTGTTTCAACAAATCTCCGGGGTCCGATCTCGGACAGGTTTTTCACTGTGTTCGTCAGTTGGCTTCGAATGGAGACCGCATTGATTCACAAATACTGTGAATCCCCGATACACCTGGTATCCTCAGTCCCCAGTCCTCAGTTATTTCGTTGATTTCAATAGAATCGTTGCACGCTGCAAATCACGAGATTTTTCTTGTCGAGAACGTCACCCGGGCGGTGTTCAGTTGTCTGGGATGCGCACTCTGATCCCCCGCATGTATATGAAACGGGAGAAATGAGTTGATGGAAGTTCGCGGTCCCTCAACGGCAGGCTCGGCAGTCCCAAACCTCCATCCCTTTGTCCTTCGCCGTCGGTGATAGGTGAAACGACGCTCACGAATCCGTTTTGCATACAACCATTAACAACTGACTACATGACTGCGCGTGGTACAACGATGTATCGCTCCCCGAATTCGACTCCCTCGGAACGAGATCCCTTCGTGAATTTCCACGCGGGAGCAGACGGAAGCTTGATATCTTTAGAACATAAGAGTCGATACAACGAAGCGGAGGAGACACCATGAGAGTATTTAATTTTTCCCCGGTGCAGTGATTCTCAGCAAGGCTCTGTACGGTCTCTTCCCTCCTATCTGTGAGAGGAAAAAAACGGAGCTCACCGTCCGTGATCCTGCCTGTGCATAAATACTCCAGGCAGCCCCTTCAAAAATTATTCTCCCGTGATCAGCACTTGCCGACTTATCTGACCGACCCAATATCGCTTCGTGTGATCTTATAAAAGTGACATTAGTCCGCTTCGCTGAACTTTGGAGGAAACTGTTCGCATCGCCAGATCTCGCTCATGTTAGTCCGGAAACGACGCACCGGCGAAATGGGGAATCAAACCCCAGGAATGACCTCGGAGAGATCAAATCGCCCCGCCCTCATGGAGAAATCCCACATTTTCGCTCGCGATGAGACGTCGCGTGTCTCGGCATTGGTACCAGCGCTCAGCCCGAAGCTCAGGCTTCGGTTTTGATTGGAGCGATTCGATGGAGCTGATGAGCGGAAGTTCCCTCACGCCTCGTGAGAACTTCCGATCGATGTTTTGCTGAAAAACAGCTTCACGCGCGCTCGTGGAAGTTTTCGCAATCACTAAAACCACAGTAGGGCGTGTGAAAGCAGCCACGTGCTGAAAAAAATTACTATCTCAAGGAGCGATGTTTCTACCGATGTTTCTGTCCAAAACCAACGTTCGAAGTAGCCGCACTTCGAGGCAGCCGAAGTTCCCTGGATTCGGTGTATGCGACGGATAATACTTGCAAGGGCAACGAGACTTTCCTTGGGAGCCGAGAGGGAGACCTCCCTCTCTCGAATCGGATGGGATGCCATGGGAGGTCCTGGCAGTTATGAATGATCCGAAGATCGGGAAGAAGTTGCCAGCATTTTTTCGACAGTCTCTTCCGTCGGGATGATTGGGAAGATAATCATGAGCAATCGAATATGTCCCGGTCGATCGTCCAGCTCCGATCTCGGTCGATCATCGACAGATACACTCAGAAGCGAGTTATCTCGAGAGTGCGAAGTGTGCTCGAGTAGGAGTGGGGGGAATCGCGAAGAGTGTTCAGATTCGCTCGAGAGCGAACATCGCTTTCATCTTCATTCATACCCATCACCATGTACTCTATCGATGCCTCCGTCGCCGATGTCGGCGCAGATCCCCCATGATGAACACATCCATAAATATTTGATCGTTTCCCGAGACAGTCTAGGTGCTCCGTAGAGATTTTTCTCCCGTCCTGTTTCCGCTTCCATTGCCGCCATCGTAGGCCACAGAGCTCGGGGATGATCCAATGAAGTGTTCTGTAGAGGGAGCGACTCAGAGTGCCATCGAATTATTAATCGAATCAATAATGCGTGCCTGAATAATTATTGCTCCCGAACCGCTTCCCGTTCCGTAGTTCCTTTTGGACTTGAAATGGGCTCTGCGTGGGCGGGAAATGGTTTCGATCATCCTGCTGTTTCTCCTGATGATTTGCAGACCCATCTCATGCACCTCGAACCAGACTAGCGAATTCAGTCGACGGGCTGAACCACGGCTTCATCGGAGCCTTATCGAGTACCACGGCTCAGAATCGGTGCGATTTCCGGCTCTTTCGAATGCTGTCTGTTCCCTCAGAGGACGGAGGAGATAGCTCTGAGCACGGACACATCTCAGAGGCGGAGTTCACCTCAATTAGGAGAGGAATCGTCAGATGGTCAAGGAATTCATAAAGAGAAGTAAGGAGAAAAAATTCCGAGTTGTCAGAGGAATACGGTGCGACCCGTTGCCTACCGATTCCGTGACGAGAATCGAGGCCGATTCCGAGGCACTCACCAGACGAGAGCAGAAAGTTGCTCACTCCGACCCCAACCTCGAGTAGGAGGCTCATCCCATAGGGGAATAGGGAATAAGATCGGGTATCGTGATCGAGAGGAATAAGGAGTGAGATTGAGTATCTTGATCGAGAGGGACATAAGGTCCAGGATGACCGATAAATGACCTCAGCAGATCCTCCCCATGACCAGTATTTCGTGTTTCCTCAAACTCATCGGAAGAATCCATCTTCCATAAACCTAATTCGTACGTTCGAGTCCGGCACTTCGATTCCACGAGATGATCACTTCGGCACGATGGTTCCCCACCAATCAGACGGGCACTTCGGGTCTCCATCGTCGATCCCACGCATGAATGGTATCTTTTTTCAAGCTCGGCCGCCAGGATCCGTCATCCTGCGCGTTCTGTCAGGAGCAAACCTCAGTAGGCATTGAGACCTGAATCAGCTGTGCTCTGTGAGCAGTGGTAAGAATTTGAGAGTGAGTTATAGAAAGCACCGAGAGCGTTTCTCACGCATGTTCCCGATATGCTGCTCCAAGTCACGCCTAGATGTGTGGTCACGACAAGGCTACGCCGAGTCGAGGACGTCTGAATAGACACAAGTCGCACGAGAATCTGCGGCAAATGGAAATATGCCGGCGCAGATCGAACGTCGTACCGATTATCTGTCGACCGCTATTCGTACCCCTGATTCCTGTGCGAGCCGGCGAAATCGTGAAGCTCATTCATGGGTCGTCGAGGAAACCATCATCGCCCGCATGCGTCCGATAGAGCATTCACTGATTTGAAGCATCAAACGTGACGGGAATCGCTCGTGCACGTGGTTCTCCTATGGATCGGTTTACCCCCTCCCTACAAGAATACGTCAGTCGTGGACAGCACGATCGCCTACGGACGTCTTCTGAAGAGCTCGCAGAGAACCCTCGCAGGTGACTTTCGAAAGCAACCGGAGCGACCCGGCTGACTATCGGAGCCATTGATGCCCCTCCCTAGCTACGTCCATGTTCGTCTAAGTCCGCTAAGTTCTGCTGAGTTCCATTCTCGTGGTGGGGAAAACTTCCCGTAGGGAAAAATACGTGGAGCAGTCGCTACCAGACGCGAGTTCGCTGTGAGCGACGAGAGAGGAAGGTATAGACTCTTCACCCATAAAAGACGTGAAGACGGATTTGCTTATCATACAGGAGCATCACGGCCTAATTATCGCGAGTTGTATCACAGTGGCCGGGTACATGAGAGGCACGCAGAGCGGGGCGGCTCAGATAACGCGGTAAGTGTCATCCGGTATCGAACATCGAGGCAGCATGTCAGACTCCGTCGCTGCCGTCAGAGTGTTTTAGCTTTGGTTCGGTCCCCTGGTACACGACATTTTTCCCGGGCAAGACTCGAGAGAAAAAAATCGACGAGAGACCTCTGTCCTGCTCCGTACCGGATATTCCCCCACGCGGGGCAGAGCTCCGGTCTTGTGGAAATAATCGCTTCAAGTGAATCCCTACCGAGCCCGGGATCCGATTCCCGGAACCGCGTACACTCATTGTCTAGAATGATTTCCCTAGCCGTGAGCCAAATTCCGGGCGAGCCCGTTGTGGTGAGCCTCGTTCGATCGAATATGTCGTACCCCGGTGGGAACCGTTCGGGGGAAAAACACGTTTTCCAGAGAAAACCGATTACGGGAATAGCAAACCAGAATCAATATCATTGATGCGTTTGGCATGTCCAGGTGAGCTGGAGCCGAATTTCACGGGGATCACTTCCCCGAGCTCTGGATCCGCTTACCTTGAGGGAGAACATTTCTTGGTGGAACCGGTGAGTATGGTTGAAGCGGTGCTGCCGTTGCTGAAGAGCGTCCCAGGTGCTGGTAACCGCTTTGATGTACGTCTGATTGAGTTGGCCGTTGATGATGACGATGACGCTGCTGCTGCTGTTGAAGATGTGAAGAATGTTGGCGGAGGAGGGGGGGGCTGTCCGGACGAGGGTAAAAGTGGTGCCGTGCGTGGTGATGCGATGATCGATGCCGACGGGATGGTCCCGCTTGCTGCTGCTGCTGCGTTTCGTGATGGTGATGATCTGCTGTCGCCGATGCTGCTGCTGATGCTGCTTGTCTGAGGTGGTCCCGTCCTCCTCGAGCGTATTCGGAGCCGTCGCTCGGAGCTGAAAGCAATTCTGCATTGCAACGGGGGCAGTACGACACCAGGTTGGCGGTCTGCGGGGCAGAGCGACGGCCCCGCGCTCCTGGTTGCGGCCAGTCGCTCCACACTACGCGGCAGGAGGTGGCCTTGGCGATGAGTTAGCTTAGGAATGTTTTTCTGTCGCGTGCGACGCAGCAGTACGCCACCACGCCAACCCTCTGCCCCGCAGCCGGACTGCCGGGCGGGATCGTCGCCGGCCACCACGTCAACGTCGACGTCCACGTCCTCAAGCACCACCACCTCGACCGCCGCCGCGCCGCCGACGACGCCGCCGCCACAACCAACAGCAGCCTAAGCGCTGCAGCTCAATAGACGACAACGGATGCCGAAAACGTTCTTGCCGAGAGCGGATTCCTCAAACCAAATATCCCGAACTTTGCGTCCAGCACCTGCGCGGATGTGGTGGCACGGATCCTTGTCCGAGGCGTTGTTATTGCTTCGCCGTCTGTTATTGTTGTCACCGATCGCGTCTACGAGGTCGTCGTCGTCGTCTACGTCGGCGTTGTCTACGTTGAGAGTTTTGTTGTTCAACTTGTTGTTTTTATTGTTGAAATGATATTTTTTTTGAGCGTTGTAGTCGTCGTCGTCTTCGTCGTCGTGACCGCTCGTCCTTATCCCCCTTATTATTGTTATCGTTGTAGAAGGTGATTCTGTTGTTGATTCCGTCACCGTCGTCGCTGTGGTGGATACCGATTGTGTGGTCGGCGTTATTGTTGCTGCTGCTGCTGCTGTGGATGATGTTGCTGTCGCTGTTGTTGATGCCTGTCGACTGGAAAGTCTGCTGCCAACCACTGCTCCTAAATGCAGCGGTTCAGCCGACTTCATTTTCTGCAAGCTCACACGCAATTTGCAGCCGCCAGCCAGCCGACGGTGCGTCACCACTGCGTGAGAGGCTACTGACTGACTGACTGACTGACCGATCGATCGACCGACCGACCGACAGACTGACTGATCGACTGAGTCGCTTCGTCCGTCCGCGTGGAGCCTACTCGCGACACTGGCTCCGTCGACTAGCTCATCACTTCTCACAGAGTCACTTTCACTTGTATTTTCCCTTGGTTAACACTTACACGCACAATCACACTTCACTTGAGAGTCCTCCTTCGCTTGAGCATCGATCGACTTCCTGCATCGGTGCCTTCGGCTACCGCTGTCGTCGCCGTTTCCGCAGCTGCGGCGGCCGCGACATTCACGCTAACGGACGCTGAGAAATCCTCCGACGCTAGTCCTACACCAGATGATATAAACAAATGAATAAACAAACAAACAAACAAACAGGCAGCACTCCGAAGACAATCCCCCGGTCACCGAACACTGACGCGTGACGTCACGGTAGAGGCTGTTCGCTGAATCGCTATCCTTTGTTCCTAGGTGCTGATCTGTCGGTTCGACGTACCCTACAGCCTGAATGTGTGGTGTTTGTTTGTCAATGAAGGTGTCGTCGAGCGGCTGGGAGGCTTAGGGAAACTGCTCGCTGGGACGATGGTGTGTGGCTCGATGATTCAGTCGTTCCCGTCTCGGGGAATTCGACTGCTCGTTTGCATGAGAGGTTGGTCAATCCTCGTCGGCGAATCGGTCGGCTGCTTGCGCGGAAGGTGGCTGGCTGATTGATCCCGTCTGCAGTCGTGGCGAGCGTATTGCAGCGGGACGACACTTGCGAGCCGACTGGCTCGCTGCTGATCAGACGAGCAAGCCGACAGGGATGTTTACGAAACAGACAAATGGATGCGCTGAAGCGCGCGATTAGCTTTCAATCACAATCACTCATGGCAATCACTCGCGAGCTCGTCATTACATTGGCGCGGCTGTGGCGACCAGGCCCCACAGACGAGGAGGAGATTGCCGCTTTGCCGAGCTCCGTCAAGCACGTGTCCGACCCTCCTCCTCGGGTTCTCTCTCTCGATCATCCAATAGGTCCGTCCCTCCCTCCACCCCCCAACCCCCCGCAACCAGAAGGTCGCCGGAGCGAGCATCCACCTCCACGCTTTAGGACCGCTGCTGGGGGGTTCTGGCGGAGAAGCGCGCGAAATTCTCTTCAAGTCCAGCATTCGATTTCCATCAATTCGTTGCGCGACCGAATGTTCCGAGCCACCGGTACGCGAAACCGGTGAAGCCCCGACGACGGCGGAGCCGAGTGCCAGCGGGCGAGCGAGTGTGCAAGCTTGCCACCGAGCAAGACAAGGAGGAAGGGCGAAGCTTCGCGGTTTTCGCTCGCTCGTGTTCCTCAGCTGGCCTGCTAGCTGGCTAGCGAACGAACGAGCGAGCGAGCGAGCGAGCGGGGAAGCGAGTGAGCAAGTGAGCCACCCATTCAACCCGGCAGGCAGGCAAGCAAACGACCAGGCAGGCGAACGTCGGGCGGGCAACCATCCTTCTGGTCTGCTCGCTTGCTCATTCGGCAAGCCGTCTGCTTCTTCGCCCACCAATGTTTTCGCTTGCACTCGACCGTTGTTTCAGAATTTTCCTGGACTAGAACACGACCTGTCCTGGAGCATAGATCGTTGAGAGGCAACGAGGCGCGCGAAAACCGGACTCGATCCGAGAGCTCTGACGGGTTCGTGGGTTCGGTTGATTTCCTCGATAGCACGGATCGGATTTCGTGGGGAGCGGATGATTCCGATTCGAAGAGGTCGCTCCTTCCTCCCCCTAGGGAGCCAGCTCTGATCCAGATCCAATCATCTTGCTCGTCTCCGAACGGTCTTCACGACTGTCTCCTGCCGCTTCTACGCTCACGAGGTCTCTCTCGTGTTGATGTTGATTCTGGTGTCCAACAATATTCATCGTGGGGATGATGATTATCCGCCGCGTCATCAGCGCTCGTACTGAGTTCCCTTTGGTGGGGGTATCCTGAGCTATCGGAGCGCAGTTTCACGGCATCACGGCGTACGCCGTTTCCTGATTTTGTTCCCTGGCATCATCATCAAAAATATATTTTTGAACTAACGGGATCCCCGGGCCGAAACCCTCTGAAACCCTCCTCCAGAACGAGCATGTCGTTTGGTCTCTTTCCGTCGAGATGTCTTCCGATTTTTACTCGCGCGCGCAGAATCGATCTCGCTACTGAGGAGTCACTACATATGCATTTATGTTTCCCTGCGCGGAGTATGCGGGGCCTGAGCAATTATTCGTGCGCTCGGAATCCGCGCTTCTCACGCATATACGTGAACGGGGGGCCAACGGGGACACATATCTCCCGTTGAGGGTCTCCACGGTTTCCGACTACCGACTATTTTCCAAGCAGGTTAAACCGCTCGACTTTCGCTCGGAATCCGCGCTCTTCTCCTGGACGGATTCTCTTCCGCAGTCTCGCGATCGTCTCTGATTCTGCGAAATCCCTTTAGTGTGGCGCAAGCTCAGCGATGACTCCGCGTAGCTATGACCTTTTACCTCATTCTCCGATCTACCCGGGGATCCGCCCCTCTGATCTCACATTTCTCCTCGTCTGTGCTGTCTCGTTTCTTGTTTTTTTCTTTCTTTCTGCGAGCGCTCTTGTTTTCGGTTGGTTTTACTTGTTCGGTGTGTCTTCCTCTCTACCTATAGGAATGACATAGAGAGTCGCACAAACAATCGCTGGTAGCGACGGCTGAAGTGAACCACCTGTGTTTGAATCTTTTGTCTCTCTCCTCGCGCTCTCTCCCTCTCGCTTTTTGGAGGTCGTTACGTGGTTTTTCTCCCCTTGCTGCTGCTGCTGCTGGTAGTGTACTTATCTTTTCCGTCTCCATCTTTCTTCGTCCGATTCGTCGACTGCGCTCCCTTCGTCACCCCTTCTCGCCCTGCTCTGAGTGAAGAAGTAAGCGACCGAACGACACCATCAAAGCAGATACTCCGCAAACAACAACGCCACCAGGAGCAACAACAATAGCATTCATTCAACAGGGTTCGCTTCCTCCGTTCGACCTTATCTGCAGAGAAATAAAGTACTCGCTCCCTCTTCCCCTCTTCGGAGGATTCAACCGTCCTCGGGGGCACGGGGCCGTCAATTTGTCGTCGTGCCCCCCCCCCTCTCAAGAGAGGGACACGTTTTTCGTGAATCTCTAAAAAAAATCTGCGGAGGTATTTCGCGTAGGTTTCCGCGGGAATGCCCCACCCGACGACACCTGACAGCCAGGCGCGTATTCAGGGGTGGGGGGCATTGGGGGCCAATGTCCCCCCAAAAATATTGTTCCATGCTACCTCTGTCGCCTTCTGGAACCGATTCCCGAATTTTCGGGACCGCAGTCATCGTGTGCCCCCCCAAAAAAAAATCCCGGATACGCGTCTGCTGACAGCGGAGCCCGCGACGACCCCGAGGCTCATCAAATAAACACACTAGAGTGCTTTCGTTGACGATCGGAGGAAAAGTACAAGAGCTCATAAACAATTTCGAATCGGCGGCTCGAACGCTCCCAGCGAAGTGCTCGAGTAGCCTCGTCAGCTTCAGCGCGGAGCCCACGGACTCACCTAATTGCATCCCATAGTTCCGGTAGTGAGCGTAGCCGTTGGACACTCGACGTCGGACCAACAACCCGCTCGAGGCGACCTTCCCCTGTGGGCCGTTGCTCATGCCCCACTCGCTAGATGGAGAGCGAACAGGATCCTCGAATCGTCCGGGAGGTGGACGTCCGATCAATTTCACCTCACTACCGATCGAACACAGTACGTTTCTTAAACGTATTCCAAGAAATTGTGTTCTGGAGCTCGGCTCCCCCCTTTCTCTCTTCACTCTCCTCCCGCCCCTCCGTAGATTTTCTTCTCCTTCCGGGGCCATGCCCGCTGATCTTCCTCCGGCGCCCCGAAGCGGAGCTGAGAGCTGATGGATAATCGGGAAAACCTCCAGAATCTTCGACCACGGGATTCTCCAGCCTTCAGATTCACAACAAATCATCTTTGTGCTTGAGGGTTGTCGAAAGTTGAAGAATTTTGGACGCGTTGAATTCTTCAAGCTGATATCTCGTTTCCATTTGGATTTCATTGTCTTAATGGAATGAAGGTGCATTTAGAAAGAAAAAATACTTCATATGGTACCCAGGGGACCCGGCAGAAAGCTGGGGGGTGGCCTCTGCGGATTCGAAAATAATTGATGTGATTAGAGCGACTTCCATGGAGCGCGTGGCGGCTTCTGTTGAAATTGTCGACCTCTCCACTGACCCGCGTCAAGCCCAGCTCGAATCGCGGTATCGCGACGATGGATATTTACCTGATTAGTGCTGGAGTCACGCTCAACCTCCTCGGGTAATTGGGACTGATCACGCACAATCATGGAGTGAGAATTCAGATCACACTTCGAGGGTAAATTCGAGGTCGATCGCGAGAGGACAGCAGGGTCAACATGAAAAACATAATCATATGTACATACATATGTGAGCCTGAAGCTTGATCGCCATCGAGCCCGCTACGATCGTGAACGATGTATTCGAACGGCCTCCGAAGAGCCGCGATTCAACAATCGGCAAAGCGATCGACTCGAAACTCGGAATGGGGAAACGGCAAATGTTCCTTCTCGGAAGCGGGGTATTCCGCGGAAGGCGAGAGCGATCCGAGTCGAAAAACCGAGGCAGAGCAAGGCGAGCCCCCCGACGAGCCAGCGGCCGGCCGGCCGGCCGGCCGCTCGGTCGGTTGGTCGTTCGCTCGCTCGCTAGGAAGTCAACCAGACTCCATTCGGGAAAGACGCTTC